ACAGAACTTGATTAACAGTGTGACTTTCTAAAATAGTTCAGAACAGACTGAAACCAATTACAAATTATCACCATTAGAACTCAAAACAGGAGAATTTATGAACCTTTCTTTAAAAATTAATGTATCACGTTACATTTAGAACACAACTGAATTATTAAAGAGGAAAAACAAAAAAAGTTTAGTTTCATTACTTTCTGTGCCTGTGAGATGTGACTGGGCAAATAAGCCTGTTGACAGTTAAGTACTTCAAATGCAGTGCAGGTGCCGTCTCCCGTGCCCAGGCGCCCTTGGTCAATTCTAGTCAGTGTGGTCACAGGTCACAGCACACACGTGCAGTCTGTTCATCAGTTAACACACAGAAGGCTTGGCAGCCAGCGGCATCCATTTCCAACTCAGACATCACTCAGAAGCAGTGTTGTTTAAACTCTGAGCAGTTCGCTTGTTTCCACAGTCTTTCCTTACCTTCCAGAAAACAACGGAGAACCAGGAAACCAGGAAGCCCCAAAGCTGGTAAAGCTCAAACGAAAAAATCAGGACAATCAAGCTCCACTTGGAGCCCTTCACCCTGGGCCCCTATGCTCCCCTCCCAAAAAGCTTACTAATGTGTATTCGAGTGCCAGACCATAAGGGGTACACAGAGCTGCTGCAGGGGGATGTGCCTCAGGGGCAACAAGGATCAAACACTCCAATGCTAGAGGCACAGCAAGGAGAGTAGGGCCTCTCAGGGAACAGCCACAGCCTCACAACAGCTCATCAAAGCCCCCTACAAGCTACACTCACCTAACCTAACACACACTGCTAAGGACCCCCCATCATTCTAAGTACTACAGTTTCACAAAACATAAGAGCCACAGCAGCCTCCAACTGGCTACTACAAACCACATGTGGATTTAAAAAAAAAAAAAGTACCCCAGTGCTGATGAACACTGTCCTCTATCTCAACTGTGGTCATGGCTCCATAGGTGTGCCTACGTGTAAATCAAAAGTTATAGTACCACACACTCTAAACAAGTGCAGTTTGCCACATATCCATAATACCTCAACAAAGCTGTTACACACACACACACACACACAGAGTCCCGTGAGGTGTCTAAACACAGCAACAGGATTTTCAGTTGGCTCCTACCGGCCACACTAAACAGACAACACTGTATATCCTAATCTGAGAACGTGAGAGCTTTTCTAAACAGAAATCTTCGTTAGAAAAGTCCAAACCTAGGGGCCGGCNAAAAAAAAAAAAAAGTCCCCAAATCTAGAGATAACAATTCCCAAATGACTCTTGCCCAAAACAGTAAAATAAGGAGAATTCAAGGCAAGGAGGCAAAACAACATTGTGGCCCCATATGATGAAATGAGTAACAGAGACAAAAAGGCAGCCATCTGCTGAATGCTTGCGAAAGCAAGAGAGCAAGCAAGCGTACAAGCAAAACAAAGACACCCTGTCATCAACCAGGAGCTCTGCATGCTAGCCCCACTGCATGCTAGCTTCCTAACCCAGGCAAACCATGGCCTTTCTGATCCCCAGTTTCTTCATCTATAAATAAAAGAACCAGGAAGTAAGGGTATTAGAGCTCTCCCATGTTGCACACTTCCTACCTTCTACTTCAATTGACAATTTCTGGAAAACCTGCTATCAACCAATCAAAAGCATGGATTGACTCATAATGTGCCGATTAATCACCTTGCTGAAAAGTGCACATCTTAACATACAGAACGAAGGGGCCATTTAAAAGCTGTTCACTGGCCGCATCAAGCTACCCAATGGTCATTCCCCGTGATTTCCCCAGGGGCGAAACAGAGCTATGGCTAGTTGCTGACATCAGAAAATAATCTATTCCATTTTTAAACAAATCCTAACAGATGCAAAAGTTCCTACATTATAAAAACATATTTCAAGTATATACATATCGAGTTATGCATAATATATATCAAGTGGTACAGCTACCTCGCTCCACTTTTTTTTTTTTTTTTCCTTTTTGTCTTTTTTTGTGACCAGCAACAGGATCGCAACCCTCGGTGTCGTGCCCGCACCGCGCTCAACCAGTGAGCGGACCGGTCTCTATATGGGATCCGAACCCTCGGCGGGAGCGCCACCGCGCTCCCAAGCGCCGCACTCTACCAAGTGCGCCACCGGGCCAGCCCTCCACT